TATCGAGTTTAATTCCCCCGCTACAAATTCCCAAGGAAGTACCATTTCTTTTCTCTTTTATTATTATTTGGGAGTTTGTATGTGTTTTTATTATTTGTCTTTTTGTATTTTTATACATTGAGGACAACGTATGCTTTAGGTGTGGGGGTGGAGCTTGTGTGTTTTTTACTATGTCTTCATTAAATTGCATATTTGAAAGAATTACACTGCTTTTTGATGAAAATTTTCAAATAAATTTTGAGTCTGAACCACTGTTTTCAAAAATCTCAACTGTTATGTTGCTAATCATTCTAGGTTGAAAGGTGGCGCATGAAAAGCATAAATTTTTCTTTGCTATGTACTACTCAATATGTCGTGAATCTAACCGTTGAAGTTGATGATTGGAATAATATCACAAAAAAGTTACTTTAAATTGAGTGGTCTGAGCCTTTCTGAGCAAAAATAGAGTTAGTGTATTTGAATGCTCAACATATTTATGTGAGAAGTATATCATATCTAGTATGGATTAATCTCGAATTTGCCGAGCTAGGACACATCTGTGCTCTTGTAATTGGCACAAGAATAAAGGCACTAGGATTCAGCCAAGTTAGCTTAAAAAGCCTACACATTTATGTTTACTCCTAGCGAACCATTCAAGCCTTGACCGTTTTTCTTAAGCTCCAGATATATTAAACCATTAGCCTTGTTTTTATCCTTACCTTTTTTTCAAGCTCTGGATTAGGTTGCTTAAACTGGATTTGTGGTAAGAGTTGGACACTATAGTGGCATGTGTTCTTGTTTGTAATGTATGCATTTGATGTATTATATGACATGCGGAAAAAAAATGCAAAAGAAGGGAAAAAAAAAGAAAAAACTCGGGAAAAATACCCGAAAAAAAGAAAAAAAAGAAGAAACAAAGAGGAAAAAATACTCGGTAAGAAAAAAAAAGAAGAAAATCGCATGAATCCCTAGTTTCAACTTGTTCGAGAGTATGGCAAGTTATTCATTATATCTTTGAGATGCCATGGGTTTTTAAATGAAATATGTGAAGTTCACTACAAATTCTTATGCAAAGCACACTTGAAATTGAGGTGTGAGGATGAGCAATGTCATTATATGGGATATCTGGTATGATGGTGGAATTTAAGTATACATGGTCTATCTTGACAAAATTATAAGCCCAACATCCATATATATCCACCCTTTTCCTTACCTTAAACCCCATTACAATCCGATTTAAAGATCTTTATTGGTAAGTTTATTTGCTTGGTGAGTGATGTGGCGCCTTTTAAAATTCTTGAGTATTCTGATAGAGATTGGTTTGTGTTAATTTTCTTATACACTACCCTTGAGAGAAAAGAAGAAAGAAAATGAGTGAACCTACTGGTGAGGTGATTTTGTTCTAATCATTGATGGAGTTTAGGGATGAAAAAGTGTTGATTTTGGAAGAGATTTATGTTCAAGGGCAGAAGCAGAATTGATATAGCACGTGATCAAGTTGATGAACAAGCTGGAAATTTCGTGCAGTGACTAAAGTACAAAATAGAGAAAGTTTTTGGACAAAAATATAATTTTTACTAACTTTGGGAACCAAACTGCAATTTTGGGAAACTTGAAGGGCAGCTTCGGTTTTGGACGAATTTATTGCTTAATTACCAAGTTTTTTGAGTTATAAATTCCTGTTCTTAAGGAAGAAGTCAAGCAATTCCTTTTCACACTCAAAGAAGGAAGGTTTCTCATAAGAAATTGTGTTCACACAAAAAAAGGCGATTCTTTCCAAAGAAATAATCTTTTAATTGGAGGCTACTTCTATTCCTTACATAGACTTAATGTTTTGAGTTTATAAAAGGGTCTAGATTTGTTTTCTTCCTAGTTAAGAGATGAGTTAGCAAAAGAGCCAATTTTGAAATTACCTTGTAAAAATAGAAAAAATATGTTATATCCGATTCTTCGCATACTTCGTAGGAGAGTATTTAGCCATCCTCACCTATAAATGGAGGAGAAAATTCGGCGAAACCAAGACCAAGGAGAGGGAGAGTAGTCGACCCACAACTAAAGCTCCGGACGGGCAGATTTCTCTCTGTTTTCGTCGCTACTTGTTTTGTAATGTCGATCACCAACTGTTTTGCTATTGAGTCTATTAAGATTAGTAGCTAAACTATTTTTCTAGGGGAAGGATTGTTCATGAGTATTTGTTTATTTCCTAATTTTAGGGTTTATGATTGATTTGGTTTGATTCAATAGATGCATAATTCTTTCAAATTGATCTATAGCTATTTAAAACGGCAAATCCAGAATTGTTTGTTTAGCTTTATTAAGTGGCAATCAACAACTCAGACTGCCTAAGTAAGCAGCTGATACGTGTTGTGAAAATAAATAATCCAATTTAAATGATCCCAACTGTGCGTTTGTTAATTGGAATTAGATTTCTCTAGGTCTTAATACTGTTGAAACACTAAATCCTACGAGCGTCTCTAGGATTTTCTTTTTATTAGAGAAGTAATTAACGATCGTATCTTGACTACCGATAAAGTAAGGAAAAAATGGTTGTTAGGCCGTGCCAACAACTATAACCAATTTATTTGTGAATTATATGAATTTATCTTTGCATCAAGGATCAATTGTTGAATGAAGATGGAAATAATACTTTAACTATAACCTTTCTCTCTTATCTGCCATCTGAATTATTTGTTTTATTTATTTGTCTTTTACTTATTTTCAACTCGAAACAAATTTTCTATCTTTACTTTGCTTTTAATTAGATATATATTTACTTACTTGTTCTCTGAGGAGACGATCCTATTCACTGCTATACTACCAAATCTGTTAGGAGTAGGTTATCATGTTTCATTCTGGACCAATAGATAGATGATTTTTCCCCTTTGGGTGGACTATTAAAAAGCTTAACCCATATTCCAGCATTGGAAAACATTTTCCACCACATTTTGCAAGTATAAGAAACTCATTTTTGATGACCGAACATTTTCCACCCATATTAAGAACATCTTCTAGTGATCGAACTTCGATTCCATTTTCTTCAGTTGGAAAAGCAATTCCTTCCCATTTACGCCAAACTCGTTTTTGATGACCGTCAAATTCTCCTCAAAAGAACTGGGCAAATTTTGTTTCAATCTCTTGCATGGTTCCCTTAGGAGGCTTATAAGCTGCAAAAACATAAGGCATGAACGATGACAAAACATGGTTAATCAGAACTAGTCATCCAGCTGGTGAGAGCAATAGACTTTTTTCCAGCTTGCAATTTTGTTGTCAACTTTGCAAATGAGGCTGTTGAAGTATTCTTTACGGCATGTTCCTTTATATAACACTCCACGAAGATAAGTATGAGGATATTTACCATGTGGGATAGAAGTAATAGCAGATATTGCACCTATATGATTTTGAGAAGCTCGTTTGGATACCAGCAAAGAGCTATTCGTTCTGTTGATTTTTTTACCAGTGCTTTCCTCATGGGAGGGTGAGAAAGTCCAGGAGATTTCTAATGGAGGCCCTGTCAGCTCACAAAGACGATTACGTCGTCAGTGAAACAGAGGTGTGATATTGGTTTTACTACTCTGGAGGTGCTATAAGATTTTAGGAGACCTGCATTCAAAATAGCATGTAAAACTTCATTCATATATCCTAGCTACGTAAATAATGGGAGACCAACAAAGAAAGTAAGTAATTTTCACTCTTTGAACCAAAAGAAATAGCAGGAAAAAACTGATTCACTCGGTGCAATTTTCACTTTGTAAACTTACATATATAGGAAAACTTTGGCAGACAAGTGGCCTCAATTTTCCTTCTTCACATTTAGTGGGTGAATGTTTTTGACTCTTTTTGGCATTCATTTGTTTGCAACATACTCTATATTTTGGCAAGGATAATGCAGTGTATATAGGAGTTTGTTCTTTTCCATAGTGCATATTATTGGAAATACAACAAGAGATGTTGGACTATTGCATTCTAATGGTGGCACGTTTAGCGAACCGGTTGCACCGACATATTATTGTAAGGGGTTGGAATCACTTAAAGAAAGCAAGAGCTTTGTATCTCAACCCGACCATGATTGATCTTAAATTGCATTTCTATACATTACGTTTACTGCTGAAATTGTAAGGGAGGATCGTACGTAGTCCTGAAATCGTCCATGAAAGGTATTGTAAAACAAATTCGATAGAGTGAAAATATGTCAGGTAAATTGATAAACCTATAAGAATGAAAGAGACAAAGAGAACACAATAATTCACTTGCTCGAAATAATATAATGTGAATATTGAGATCAATATTTGCTAGAACTTTCAAATTTAGCAACTATTCAAAGATAAAGTAATTCCATAAGGTCTTCTTTCAGATGACTCAAATATTAGTTGTTTGAACACCCGAGTTTAGGCTGCAATTCGAATGGTTCTTCTTCCGAGTGGAATTTGCCTGCTAAAGGACGAATGTTTGTTTTAACTAAGAAAATAATAAATTAAGTACAATTTGTATCAATCAAATGAAATTTATATTTTCAGCTTATACATGCAATTCTTATCTTCTGAAATACACAAATAATAATTAAAAAAATTGTGTACCGTGCATATGTCGTGCGCAAACAGTGAGTGGGTCAATGAATAAAAAAAATGAATATGAGTTGAAAAATGTAGGAGTAGGTGTTTAATTTACATCCCGAAGAATACAAGAGACTTAAACTCCACATTGAGCTTCCAGACCAAAATCGAAACTTGCCACTGTATCAAAAATATCAAGAACTCCATAATACTTAAATGTTGCAACTATGGAGCCTTAACTACCAAGCGTGGTACACTTCCATTTTCAACTAAATTCTCCATAATCGAACTCCTTTTTTCCGATATATTGAAAAAGGGACGATTATAGAACTACTCTGGCAATCGATTGCCTATACCATTTTTCATAACCTTAAGACAAGAGATTAAACTAGGAAAATACATATGTAAAAGCTAAAAGACTCGAAACAACTTAAACAAATTGAAAGACCTAGATAGATAATTCACTATCCATTAACATTGTTGGCTACGAAGAGTCGGGGTGACAAGGCGGTCGAAGGAAGCTGCCATTTCCATCGGGTGCTCTAACACCGCCCAGCAAGAGGAGCCGCCGGCGCTGGTAATGGTGCCTGTGGCACGTGGCCGTTCAACAGCACCCAAATGGTTGAACTCGTTCTCTTCTGGCAAAGGGCTGTCAGGAGTAATAATAACGTTGTGGAACCCGTTTGAGTGTATCAAACCAGTTCCAACTCCATTTTGATTATTAATGTTTGGATTGGGGTGATTGTTGAAATTGGCGTTGTTTTGGGATGCCATTTTTTTTGGTTGTAAAGGATAGTCAAAAGAAAAATGAAATGGAGGATTAAGCAAAAGTGACTACAAGCAATAAGTAGGGTGGTGGACAAAAAGATGGCATTAACGGTATATTTATAGTCAAAATAAAATTTTGTTTCACTTGACCAAAAATTTGGCGGTTCTTCAATTTTTTTATTGAATTTTGCAACCAAAAGATTTCACGTTTATAGTGCAAGTGGTGTAGCTAATTTTCTAAGGCAAAAGAAGGAACAAACAAAAGGGCGATTCAAATGTTCTAGACCTGGTTTTATTTTGTTTTCCTCCCATAATCTGTGATGTTCCAACGTGTGAGTGAGTGGAGCAACCTTAATAAAAAACTAGATGCTTGCCCCGGGCGGGTGCGTCCCACCTAATAAATTGATATGTAAATAATCAAAACTGATTAGGAATGAATTTAGTTTTTGATGAAAATAATTGATTGACCGAAAATTAATTTTTTTAGAAGTCCTAAATAAATGGAGAAGGAAAATTCCATATACTGTCAAATTCAAAATTTGAATGAACATGGCCATGTGATCTATTCGTTAATATTGTAAATATATTTTTTATTTTTAAAAGGATGTGACAGGTGGCAGAATGATTTATGCAATATGGTGCATTTGGAGCCAAAATATTTTAATAAAAAATTGTCACATCAGCATCCTATTTTCTGCTTTAATAGGGTAAAAGGGACAAGGATGTTTCACTCGAATGCATGTTAACACATACTGAAAGAAATAATGGAAAAGTAATTTGGAATGTTAATATATTTTTCTATGTTTGTTTTGTTCAATTTTTTGTATTTTCTATTAAGGTACTTCTTTTGTGTGTTTGAGGGGAAAAAAATACCCCGTTCCGAAATTATTGTTAAATTTGAATTTTTATTTTAGTACAAATTGAACTAAAAGTGAAAATCTAAACGGAACGATAACTTTGAAATAGAAGAAGTTGTGGAATAGAGAGTTTTGATATGCCGTTTACATGGTGTGTGTGCATACAATTTTTTTTTTTTTCATAAAACAAACCAGAGGGAAGTTAGGGATATATTTTCATATTTTAAGAGAATTTACACTAATCACGATCTCAAAAAACAACATTTAGGAGAAGAAAGTTGAATAAAATGAATCAAACTAAAATATCCTCAAACAAAAGTAATTAAAACCTAAATATTTTATTCATTCAGTAAGAAAATAAATATTTCATGTCAAAAGTTTATGAAAAATTTCGTCCATCAAAAATATGTTCTGATTTATGGATATGCTTTTGATTTTTTTTTAAAATAATCATACAAATCAAGAAAACATTACCGTGCATCTTTGTGCCCATGCTATGAATTCAGATTAAAAAAAAAAAAGAACAATTCCATAATCGTGGCTCCCCATTGATGTATTACCTGCACTCCTGTTTATACAAAATTTTAGACATGATTTTCTTATTCATTTTTGTAGGAAATTTTAGATTTCTTAAGAATCATTTAATGACTTTTTTTTTTCTTTCTTTACCCTTACAACTAAAAAAATTTAAGTATTAATTCAACCACTAATTCAACCACTTCATTAATGTTTTAGTGACATTTTGGAAAATTCACATCAATTTTGAGACAATTAACTTAATTTTGTTAGTATTATTAGTACATGTAAGATTAAGTTATTAACCTCTTATAAAAAGGAATGGCGGTAGTATAAGGTACTGATAATGTATTTAGTACATTTATTGTAATTATTTTTGTCTTGTAATTACTATGGACCGCCTCTAATACTTATAAAGGTTGCACGCTCAATTTTATTTATCCTTATTGAAATACAGTTTTCTTAACTAGGCACGAAAATTAAAGCATTTTTCTCTATGATCATAAACTCTCTCCCAATGCGTAATCCTAAACCTGGTGTATCAAGTCCTCAAGAAACTCTAATATTTTCACACCAATCTTAAACTTAAAGAATTATTTTTGCCAATATCACAATCAAGAAAAATATCATCTGGAAGAAAATTAATATTAACATGAAAATGATTTCTATACAACCAGATATGTGGAGTTACATACCCAAAGCATGTAATTGCAAAGTCTTAACGCCAAAAATTTGATTCAGATAATTGGTAAAGCGTCTCTCCAAATATTCATCAAAATGACTTTTCAGGTCAAATTCAAGAGTTGCCTCCACATAACAAGTACTCAGAATACTTGAGCACTTTCAAATTTGGAGCCTTACTTACTGATTCCGGTGTAGTTCCATGAATCCAAGTCTGTTCCATTTGGGACGAAGAATTTGGAATTCAAGGAGAGCGGTTCCGTGCCTATGGTCAATGATGTTGCCATCAGAAATACTTTGAGATGTACAGCGCGCTGAAGTTGTTCTCGTGCAGTATGCAAAAAATATCCCGACGTATCCCTAGTTTTCCAATTGAAATCCATTTCTCTAAGGTGGATTTCATGCAACGGATTCCAACTTGAAAATTTTGCTGAAAAAATGTCCGTTTCTTGAGAATTCACCATACGCATTTTTTTTTTTTTTTAAAAAAAGAATTTAATAAATGAAAAAATAAGGCAGCGAATATACTAAACCCTATAGCAAGTACAATTTTAATCATAAAGTAAAATTTTAATCCTTATTCAATCTAGCTGACCGACGAACTTAAACTTTTTTTTTTTCACCTTGACTTTTTTCAAGTGACTATGGTATATCAGAGCATAAATTTCACTGTAGAAAGAATCTCGTTCCAATTTCCGCTCCGTGTCAAAGTTTTCATCTTCTGAATCTTTAAAAGAATGATTTTTTTCTTCTTCGGAATGGGTATGTTCAATCGAATTACTTGTATTAGAAGAATCTGTATTCTTTCCTACCTCCGTGTCATCTTTGAAAAAGATTGTATTCTTTCCTACAGCAGCGATGTTTTGATCATCATTGGCGACGGCTTGATTACCGGTAGCAATGGTTTGCAGAACGGAAGCGTTGGGTTGATCTTCCAGCAGCGGCATAACCTCCACTGCATCTCGTGGAGACGAATCAATCTCAGCCGGTACGACAGTTACGACTGCTGCAGCCGCTCCTTGCAAAATCGCACCTTCCGGAGTCGCAGCCTACGCAACTGTCTCAACGATCGGGTGTGCTGCCCCCTCTTGCTGACTAATCACCGCTGGTATTGACTCCATCTGCAGTTGTTTCTGCTTTCCTTGGAGAGACTGTTTGAGTTGTTATTTCAGATGGTGTAAATCCATCTTTTGCGTGGAGGGTGTTACTTTGTTGAGACACATGTATGACTATCATAGTAGATTGGTTGAAAGTAAGACTTTCCTTCAACTTCCAGTCGAATGCGGATGGGATACTCTTTTAGGAGATCAATCTCAACACATACACGAGCCACCAAAGGTTGTGACATATTGAGAGTTGGCACATCAATCTGAAGAGGAGTCTCTATGATGCTAGCAATTTCCACAAATAGTCCTTGTTGAAGCGATGAATGGGGAGACTTTCAAAAGAGATCCAAACTGGAATTATGAAACTTTCATGTGCTGGGTTAAAGTCAGTAGTCCATTTCAAGAGTCGCATCCGATGATTGTCAAAGGTCCACAATCCTTTCAGCCAGCAGCAATGAAAGTCTTCTTCAAGATCGAAACATATGAGAATATGACGATAATCAATTGATCCAATAAAAAGTTCCCTTTGGAAGGAATGATTTGGAATTCTCTCCGCAGAAAATCCATTTTGGGCCTACCTTTGGTGAATTTTCCAACTAGGGCAACTCAAAATGGGGTTGCCAATTGTTCATCTTCTTCTTTTGTAAACGGAAAAGTTGGCTCATCTTTGAATAATGTTGGTTCTGAATGAATTAGGGAGGGTTTAGGATCTGGTGTTGGTGTTTTGTGGATTGATTGTGAATTGTTTATCTTTGAATAATGTTGGTTCTGAATGAATTAGGGAGGGTTTAGAATCTGGTGTTTTGTGGATTGATTGTGAATTGTTTTTGGATTTGAATTAGAGACTAAAATCAAATGAAGATCGTTGAGGCGATGTAGGGCCTATCGCCAGCGGCGGATTGCCCGACCATGGAAGGGAGGATAGAAAGAAGTCAGAGGATAGAGGATAGGGTGGAAAATGTTTGAGAATTCACTGTATGCAGATCTTCATTTCCCGGGTACTTTTAAGTATCAAATAAGAGTTTGAGGTGTTTGATTATGGACATGGATGCCATCTAGTCGAAAGAATAACAATTTTGACATCCTCTTTAAAATGGCAACAAGGGAACGACCATGAATAACGAATCATATAGTGAAGTAGAGAACTTATATTCACAGAGCCATTGCTACAAAGAATTTTTTTTCTTTTTTCTTCCCCTTTGATTTCTCAAGAAATCTGAAACACTTTATGAAAAAATAAGATATCAATAGACCACGAAAATGTGAGGATATTTAATGCGTATGGAACGATGCCGAAGGCAACCTAAGAAGCGATGTGTGCAAACTGAAAAGGCATTGCCAATTCTTAAGGTTGCATTGTTCCATTCGACACAATGCTTCAATAATTTAAAAATTTTTCCAATTTTTTTCACCCAAGCAATTGCCTGAATAGATGTATCGATACCCAATTAAAGAAGAAGAAAATATTTATATGTATAAAAAAAATTGAATGAAATCATAGAGTTTCCCTAATATTTTCTGCTTTAAAAAGAATAAAATGAAAGCAACCTTTGACACCACACCACATCATCGATCAACTTAAATGTTTGTAGCTAATGTCTTAATAAAGTTTTGTCGTCCTAAACTTCAGTGTATTGCTTCGCCATATCGTGGTACGTACTACAAAGATTTTGGAACATTATCCTTGAGAATTAAAAATTTTATTGTGTATGGTTAATGAATAAAATTATTCATCGTATTTATAGCTTTCAATGATTGAAAATTTGAGCGTGATGAAATTCTATATATTTGTTGATGATTGAAATTTCGTAAACATATTCCTGGAAGGAAAATTTTGTTCTAATTTGTTACTACAAAAAAAATAAAATAAAATCTGTTTTATACTTCTCGTACATATGTATCACGAAAGGATCTCATATAATTAACATCTCTGCGTGCCTAATATGTGCTTAGCTACCTAATATGTGCTTACTTTCGCTCTATACTAATCTCACACATACAAAATGTCAAAAACCTCAATGAATGGGGGCAAAAAGATATAGAAAGCAAGCTTTAGTCGAGATGAAAACAAAACCTGATGACACAACAAAACATGAAAATATCAATTTCCAACAAACTGTCAGTATAAAATAAAATCTGTTTTATACTTCTCGTACATATGTATCACGAAAGGATCTCATATAATTAACATCTCTGCGTGCCTAATATGTGCTTAGCTACCTAATATGTGCTTACTTTCGCTCTATACTAATCTCACACATACAAAATGTCAAAAACCTCAATGAATGGGGGCAAAAAGATATAGAAAGCAAGCTTTAGTCGAGATGAAAACAAAACCTGATGACACAACAAAACATGAAAATATCAATTTCCAACAAACTGTCAGCATTTTCAATGTAGATGTCTTTCATGTTGGTGCCATCTGGTGCTCGCTCATTTGATATATTTACCTCCCAGGAAGCTAAAACCCTACCATCTTAAAGAAGATATCTCAGTACCGGAAGTTCACTTTCTGTCCCTTTAAACCCTTCTACCACAACTTTTTTTAGATTCTTCTTTACACAATAAGGCACCACTGCAGGATATGGATTAAAAGTTGTAACACCCTTGAGAAATGGATGTTCATCAAAAGGGAAGGGGGGCTCGTATTCCTGAAATCATATATACAATTCAAGCACGATGTTAGGCAAATAGAATTTGATAAAACTAACAAAGAAAATCATGTTCCTTTCATCACATTTTGATAATCTTATATCCATATTCGTTACTAAAATGGCACGGAGGCCATAGATAAAAAGAAAGAGAAAGAAAAAAAATTGCATGGAGGCCATGGATAAAAAGAAAGAGACAGAAAAAAAAAAAGTGCTAGTGTTTATCAATCGACTTACTGACAAAACTCGTTTAGAAGTATTGAGATCAATTGTGAGCAATTCCAAATTCGGACAACTATTAAGAAAGAATGTGACTCCGAAAAATTCTTCTTGAATGAGCGATGCTTTTAGGATTAAGTGATTGACACGCCTAAGTTTGATCCCCAATTGAGCTGGTGAATCTCCCATTGGAATTACCTGCCAATTATACAATCAAAATACAATGAAAAAGTACTATTTGTATATAGAAAGAAAATTTTGTTTACCCCATCTGCTTTTTATTTTCTGAATCAACTCTATGATCGCACAAATATACGTATGCACGTGTTTTGTCCAAGTTGTATCAATCCCATAGAAAACTAAATGAATACTCATGCAATATGCCTCTCGCTCTAGAATGTATGTCTTCCTAAAATATTGCTAACTGTCTTACAAATAGGCAACATTGAATTTTTATACTTAAACTGGTTTTAGTACAAATCTTAAAACTAAAAATGATCTATTTTTCTGTGATGGAGAGAGTAACCTGTCTAGATTTTGTACATCTTAAGAATGAAAACAAAAAAAAAAACGAAAAAAGTATTGTACAGGTTTATTAAGATTGAAATCAATGTTTTGGGGAGATGTGAAATCTATTGTAAAATTTAAAATGACCAACCTGAAGCACGTAAGTGCAAAGAGCCAAAGTCTTGACATCATAAATATCGTGGAGTGACCTATGAAGGGTGGCGCCATAATCTTCATCAAACTCGACTTCTAGCCCAAAATCAAGACTTATGAAGTGTGGCGCCATATCCTCATTATCGCTTGTAAAATCAAAACGAACAAGTACTCCAGAATACTTGAAACGAACAAGAATCTACTCGAACTCGAGTTGTCTGAACAGCTTCTCGTAGTCCAGTCCAGTACAAAGTCAACAAAAGCCTCTCTCTGTTTATTTCTCTCGGCAACATCTCCGGTTTCTGGCTTGATTGTCACGAAATCGCTCTCGTCGAACTCCAAATTGTTTGTCCCCAGCGGGATGAATTGCCATCTACTTGAAAGAATTGACAAGCCCTTTTGAATGACAAAAGGGAAACAATCCTGAACAATAAATCATCCGGTAAAGAGGATATTCTATCTTGGTTGACACCCATATTGTTTCATATACTTTTTTTCCCTTTAACAAGAACTTAAGTGGTACTATAACAAAACTGAAAATAATGCCCTAGAGAAAAAAAGTTGAGACACGAACAAGGTTGGAAGATTGACTTTGGTAGAAAATTGGGAAGATTTTTATACATGTACGAAACGGTGGAAAAATCTTGCATACGAGGCGGGGTGTTCATTCAAACTGAAATGGTCTCATTCGTTTTAAGATTGATTTCATTTGTTATTCGTTGTCTAAAAAAGGTGCATCGTTCCGCATAATTTTTTTTTTTCTTCCAAAAACCAAATGAAATCTATGTTTACGTTATTTACTGAAATTTTGGTGAAAGCAATCTGGACCTTTGTTTCCATGAAATGAAAATCGATAAAAGGGGCTTCGCATAAATATTTAATTCCAATAGTGACAAAGATTTTTATCTGTAATCTCTTTGTATTACCGCAATTTTGTTTCACTTCAAGTGATTTGGGTACATTTCACTGAAATCACAGTTAAAATGTTATTATAATACGGTAAATAAATGAAAAGAACTTGCAAAATCATGTTCCATATGAAAACTCTACTAATGTATGCATTCTATCAAATTAACTTCATGTTGCTATTAATACCAAATAATTTACTACAAAATTCATAATTACTCTTTGTTTGAACTAGCGAAACTCTGTTGATTAGTTCCGTTACATTCCTTTTTGAAGCGATATGAGTTTGAAATTCACATCTTGCAAATCTTTGAGCAAATACTCCATGCAAACTTGTTCAAAAGATGACGCATGCGTTTTTGAATAACTGTTGTACTTTTAAAAAGTCAAATGTCGACAAAAAAAAATAAAAAATAAATTAACGCACATTGATAATGCATCTCTTAAACCTTTCCCGTTCCTCTTCAACTTTTATTTTTGTGTAGCTCTTCGAACTATCTCATTAACCTTTTTTTCGTTTTTGGCTTCATAACCTATCTACCTTACATATCTTATAATGTGTCATAGATTTTAATTAAATTAAATAGCAGAATCTATCGCTGGGCTATAACCGTGCATCAGCACACATAACTAGAACACATATTAGCTATGTGCATAATGTGAGACAAACAAAAAAAATAAATATTACATATATATGCTTTTTTTATTACATGTATATCCTTATAATGATAATTTGTAGACAAAAAAAAGTAATAACGGATCGAAATTCATAAGTTGGTCCCATTATACGGTTTCATAACTTTCACAATATTGTAAGAAATAAACAATCAAGTTTCTAATTAAGTGGGGCCGGCGATTGAAAAAATATTTGGAGACTTAAAAACAAAAATCATTATCATTCAAATACAAAAGAAACATTAAATCGGGAGAAACAATTTATTTAAATTCTCTCTGCCGGAAGATAACGTTAAATGTATATATGTTGGAGAAGAAAACCTAATTAATTTGACTTTTACAAACATAGATAATAACACAGTCCCAAAAAAGTAATTCTCATTGGGTTTTAAAATTTATATATATTAAAAATATCATAAATCTAAAAAAAATCATAAACTAAAAGTTAATCTATGGTATTTTTTGAGATAGAGAAAATATACATAAGTAAATGGCTAATCAAATCCTCGCTATAGTAGGCAAATAATATCAAGCGTCTAGGTATACCTTAGAAGATATACCTAGCCAGTGCGTATATCACAAACTTGACAAAATAAAGTGGCCATTTTATCTTTTTTTTGGGCATTTAATCCCCCAATTTTATCCCTTTTTTAGCACACGTTTAATTTTAAACTTTTTTTTTTACTTATCCTGTCAGTTTTATATTATTTTATTTTATGAGATTTTTTTAACGATTATTTTATTATGGTAAAATTTAATATGGTTCATCATCGAGACTTATGAATCTGGAGAATCAATTGGAGCAAAAAATTTCAACTAATTAACAAGGAAATCCGGAGAATTAAGCGTCAAATTTGAAAATTTTTTATTGATAACGATATTTGTTTCGATGAATAATGGTATACTTATCGATGAATAATGATGTTGTTATGGTGACGACGTTATAGATGAATAAATTTAAATTTTGCAATGAATAACGATATTCACAAAGAAGAATAATAATGCAAATCTGATGAATAATGATCTCATCCTAAATAAATAACAATATCACAATGAAGAATAGTTATAGTTTTACATGATGAATAATTGTACTTTAATGAATGAATAATATACGTTACTGGATGAATAACTTTGATAACGAAAGTATATATTACGAACTAAACTAAACTAACAAACTTCTAATTATGTATTATACTAGACAAAAAATGAACAAAAAAACTAGTCGTTGTTTTTAATATATAAGGTCTTGATGGATTTGCCGATGTTCGATACACGTTTATGTTGATTGTTTGATTTCAGCAAATCCTGCAAAATATTTGATTCGCGACCAATCGACTTCATCTTGATGAGCATTGCTTTGATGCTGATCAAACAAAAAGAACATTATAATAATTGAGATTTCACATTCAATCAAAACTCTGTTAATCATCAAGAACAATACTTTTGAAGATGAATAATCATTTTGAAAATGATGAATCAGTACTAAAATTAAATAAATCAAATGTAGTTAATAACAATCATGTACGAGTACATATTAACTGATGAATAACAACATTACTGGTGACGAATGGCATATCTTTGCATGATCAATACACATATCTATAGAATGAATAACACATATTCAAAGGATGAACTATTCAAATTCACGTGATAAATGATATACATTCACATGATTATATCAGATCACTCTTTAGATGATAACGGTATAGTAGAGGATGAATAAGCATCATATTTGTATACACCTAATCTAGACCAAATGCCTACAATGAACATATATGTAATGAATAACGTCTTAATAGACGATGAAAAATCATAATTAACATGATGACTAATCTTCAGATCTGCATACACCCAATCTAAATCAAAATATCAACAGTGCACATATAATATGAGGAATAACAGATTCACAATAGATGAATAATCACTTTTAATGGGATGAATAAATCAGCATATCGTACACTATATCTATAAAACATAAATTATATTTAATCAGAATGATTAATAATCATTATTACCTCAGACTCAACATCGGAGAGATCAAAATTTTTGATGATTTCTTGCTCCAAATTTTCTACGAATAACCACTCACTACGGATGAATATTCCCAAAAAAAAAAAAAATACAACAGCAAACTGATGTTCAACGACAACAAATTGATGAACAAATCAAACGATGAATAATGCCCAGATCTATAATCGATGATGAATATCTCATTATTAACGATGAATTACAATATCGAAATGATGAATAATGTGCAGATTTATTAATTTCTTCTAAAATCAATAACAAATCGATCAACAAAACTGAAAAGAAAATTGAACAAACATTTATAATCAAATGGACATACCTTAGATCTACATAACCCAACCCAAAAAACACACCAATTGTTTAAGAATATAGTAGTATTACCTCCTTCTCTCTTCATTTATCGAGTTGCTCTTATTCGAATCAGAGTACATAATCGTGGCTCTGTTCATGAATATTTCAGAAAAAATATCATTATTAGAACTTCATACATGGAAGAAACAAGCAAAACTGATGAATAAAATCATATATTACCTTAATTCTCATATTCAGCAACGTATATTGCAAACAAACTCACGGGATTTGATGCACAACTAGATTCCGCCTCCAAAAATACCGTCGACGAGAGGTTCTAATGCCAAATGCTGGAGAGATGAAATTTGAGTTTTTAGATTTTTTAGTTTGAGACGTCTTTGGATTGAATGTAATAGAAAGTTGGATATGGTTAATGACGGCTAAAAATTAGGAGCAATATCAGGAATTGAAGATTTGAAATATCTTTTTTTTAAAAAAACTTCTTTTAGTTAGGCGCGTGTTTTACAACCTAGGTATACCTTGTAAGGTGTACCTAGGTGCTCTATATTATAATTGCGCTGTAGTACTTCTTTTTCCCTTAATTTTTTCACGGAACACAAAATCTGAAACACCACGAAAAAAAGTCTCCAATCTTGTACAACATGCAATGGGAGACCAACATAAACACACACAAAAAGAAAAAAGATACGATCAAAATTAAGTATGTTTGCACCTCATTTCCCGAAATCTTCCTCTATTCCATTTGTCTTGTGCCAAATTAGTTGGAACATATAGGCCTGTGTTTACTTTGCAACGATCATATAGGTCTTACATATTTTACAACGTGTCACGGATTTTAATTAAATTAGATAACAGAATATATATATATATATATATATATATATATATATAATGGGCTATGACCGTGCATCAGCACTCGGAAAATATATGTTGGTTATTTTGTGCATAATGTGAGACAATCAAACAAAATAAACATTAAATATATATTCATATCCTTATTATGATAATATTTAAGCAATAGAAAAGTAATACAAGTTATCGAAATTCATAAGTTGATCTTTTTTTATGGTTTCATAACTCTTACAATATCACTTTGAAAAAACTTTTACAATATCATAAGAAATAAAAACAAATATTGTCTAATTAAGTTAGGCGATTGAAGAAATGTTTGAAAACTTAAAAAAAAAACATCATTATCATTCAAGGTCAAAA